AGGAGATCCCTCAGGAGAAGAGTCATGGGGACCATGTCCAGGTGTTGTAGTGAGTGCATACAGGCACGTGGAGGTCAAACTTGTCTGTTCACAGGGTAATCCAACCTCTGAAAATGTATTCAGATTATATACTTAGATTCTTGTCTTCAAATTCTGACCTCTGGGATGAGGATTTTTACTTTAAGCAGTCTCCTTTGATCATACATTTACTCAATAATAGACTTGGTTTAGGAGTTCTTGTGTTCTTTATTCTTATGAGCAGTGTAGTATGCGAGTTCTCAACTTTATCATATACAAAATCTGCACATAATGTGAGCCTCCTTTGGTGGTAATGGAGTTAGAGATAGATAAATCTATCAATCCATCTTTGATTTCCAGTAATCTTTCTCTTTCTTGACTATCATTTTTGCAGTGGCCTGAATGCGTGGGTTTTTCTTGTGTTTGTCTTCATGTTTAATTCGGTCCTCCTCCATCTGGTGTGCCATCATTGGTGGGAAAACTGCCCATTCTTTGACCGCCTCAAGGGCCTGATTCTGGCCTCTCTGTTGTAGCTCTATAGTTTGGATGATAATTTTTTATCTTTTTATTTTATCCTTTTGACAAAGTTGTTTTTAGGTGGTCTATTTTTAAAGTATATAGTGGATATTGGAACATTTGATTGACTGTTCAAAGAATGCGACATACCTGACACCAGACTAAGCAAGTAATGTATATTTATAAAGCACTTTTTTTTTACAGACCAAGGTCTCCCAAAGCGCTTTAATGTTCAGAAATCAGATCAGATATATATTCAAAGCAGAACAATATGGGTGGGGAGGATAACTAATCAACCTTGGGCCTTCCTGCAGTTTATAATACTTGTCAGAAGGAGTTGATAAACTTCGTCCGTTACCCTTTCCCTTGACCTGGCAGTCATGCAGATGCACGCTGATTTGCAAACGTGCCCCAATGGTTTGTTAAGTGCTGGGGTGGCAAAGCTGCATGCTCTCATCATACTAGGGGGAAAATACTGAAAAGCACTCCCAAAACTCTGTTCCATTCCTTGAGCCACAGATCCTCTGGGGGTAGTGCTGCCTCTGGGACAATTGAGAGTGCTTTGCCTAATTTAATCCCACATGCTCCCCCATGAGCTTTTTCCTTTATTACATAAGGTGTGCACATGGATGTATTGTATTATCTGGATAGGGTATTGATAGCTTGAGCTGTTGGTGGACCACTACTGCAGACTAACTGGCCCGAGTTATGCTAATTGTCAGACAAACGTGAAAACATTACCAGTGTTTAGGTCTGGTTTGATGAAGTAGATGTTGCCATGGAGATGTGTGAGAATATCTTCTTGCTGTAGGTTCAACACTTTGGTTCACACTCTCACTGTACGCCAGAGGTAACAGCAGGATCTGAGACGCATATATGCAGGTGCTAACGAGCAGTGGCAGGAGAAACTACAGCAAAGAGGAGCTCGATTTAGTTTATAATTTGTCTGATCACTATGAGGTTATGGAACAATTAGTTAAGCATTACTTTTGGAATATATTATTTATAAATATTAAATAATTATTATTTATAAAATTAATATATTTATAATATATATTGTTATGGTATGATAATGTGTGTATGTATATGTATATAAAGTGTATATATATGTGTGTGTGTGTGTGTGTGTGTATATATATATATATATATATAATTTCAGTGTAGGGATGGGCAATAATTCGAATTTATGCAATCGGCTTTTGAAAAAATCTAATTTCTGAAAAATTTGAAAATCGTTATATCGAATGAAGGATATTGTGAGAGTTCCAGCAGCACATGAATTATACTTGTACAGACTTTCAGCAGAGTCTGTATAAGACTTTTATAATACAAATTGGGAGAAACAAATTAAAAATATAGTTTTGAAACTTGAATATTGAGCGGAAAGTTAAAAAAATATTTTTAAGGGCAAAGTCTGTCTTCGGTGACTTTAATGAAAATCAAAATCGTTCAAAGCAGGAAATAAAATCGAGATTTTACTTTTTTGCCATATCGCCCAGCCCTAATACAGTGCCTTGCAAAAGTATTCACCCCCCTTGGCATTTTGTGTGTTTTGTTGCCTCACAACCTGTAATTAACATGGATTGGTTGAGGATTTGCATCAGTTAATTTACAGAACATGCCCACAACTTTGAAGATGTTGTCTTTTTTTTTTATTGTGAAGCAAACAACAAATAGGACAAAATAACAGAAAAGGTCAATGTGCATAACTATTCACCCCCCTAAAGTCAATACTTTGTAGAACCACCTTTTGCGGCAGTCACAGCTCCAATTCGCTTTGGATAAGTCTCTATGAGCTTCCCACATCTTACCACTGGGATGTTTGCCCAATCCTCCTTGCAAAACTGCTCCAGCTCCTTCAAGTTGGATGATTTGTGCTTGTGAACAGCAACTATAAAGTCTGAGATTTTCTATTGGATTGAGGTCTGGGTTTTGACTAGGCCAGCCATTCCCAAACTCAGTAACACCGAGGCCCCCTTAAAAATCTGACGGGTCTGCGTGGCCCCCCCAAAATAATAACCAAGAAGACAACATTAAGAATAGGCTCTTCTGGTTATTTTATTTTGGGGAAATGGCCTCTGCTACAAACATTGTAATACAAAAATGATTACAGTGGCTTATTCAAGTCAAATAATGAACACAAATATTTTAATATTACAAACAAAACATTATAAATTTAACATTAAATAATTATATTATTTTTTTATTTTTTTATGACCTCCCGCGGCCCCCCTGCAGTACCCACGCGGCCCACCAGGGGGCCGCGGACCCCACTTTGGGAGACACTGGACTAGGCCATTCCAACACATTTACATGTTTCCCCTTAAACCTCTGAAGTGTTGCTTTAGCAGTGTGTTTGGGGTCATTGTCCTGCTGGAAGGTGAACCTCCGTCCTAGCCTCAAATCACGCACAGAGTGGTACAGGTTTTGCTCAAGAATATCCCTGTATTTAGCACCATCCATCTTTCCCTTAACTCTGACCAGATTCCCAGTCCCGGCTGCTGAAAAACATACCCATGTACCATGTATCACTGTGGGGATGGTGGTTCTTTGGGTGATGTGATGTGTTGGGTTTGCGCCAGACATAGCGTTTTCCTTTTTGCAAACTCAAAACGTGCCATTTTGTTTTTTGCTGAATGTAATGGCTTTCTTCTGGCCTCTCTGCCATAAAGCCCAACTCTATGGAGCGTACGGGTTATTGTCGTCCTATGTACAGATACTCCAGTCTCTGCTGTGGAACTCTGCTGCTCCTCCAGGGTTACCTTAGGTCTCTGTGCTGCCTCTCTGATTAATGCCCTCCTTGCCCGGTCCGTGAGTTTTGGTGGGCAGCCGTCTCTTGGCAGGTTTGCTGTTGTGCCATGTTCTTTCCATTTGGTTATGATAGATTTGATGGTGCTCCTGGGGCTCATCAAAAAATTGGATATTTTTTTATAACCTAACCCTGACTTGTTCTTCTCAACAACACTGTCCCTTACTTGTTTGGAGAGTTCCTTGGTCTTCATGGCAGTGTTTGGTTAGTGGTGCCTCTTGCTTAGGTGTTGCAGCCTCTGAGGCCTTTCATAAAAGGTGTGTATATGTACTGACAGATCATGTGACACTTAGGGTGTATTCAGACCTGCACATTTGCTCCACTTTAAACGAACCAGGATTCGTTTGGAACTCTGATCCGAATCTTTTATGCAGGTCTGAATACAAACGAATCCTGGTCCGGACCAAAGAACCGAACCGAGACCCACTTTTTGAGGTGGTCTCGGTCCGCTTCCAAACGAATTCTGGTCCAAGTCGAATCAGGTCTGAATACATCCGGTGTCGATCCGACACAACTCCAAGATACGTGCGCATTTTTTGGGCTTAACAAGCCGCAGACAGAAACTGAGGAATTGGCCATGCAGCGGCTAACTATGCTGCTAACTATGCTGCTAACTATGCTGCTAACTATGCTGCTAACTATGCTGCTAACTATGCTGCTAACTATGCTGCTAACTATGCTGCTAACTATGCTGCTAACTATGCTGCTAACTATGCTGCTAACTATGATGCTAACTATGATGCTAACTATGATACTAACTATGCTGCTAACGCTACACAACAACACTGAGCCGTGTGCAGACCTGGAGCAGTGAGGAGACGCTGTGCAACAGGCTTATGGAGTTAAAACTGTTCACAGTATACATTGATGTTAATGGCAGCATCTTCAAACCATTCGCATTGTTGAGCGTGATGTGAAATGCAGCCTCATTTATTATGGTTCATTTATTAGCAGGCAATGTGGGTCCTGTGAGGACCCCTACTGACGTCAAGTAGCTCTATAAATTGCACCTGTTTTGTTTTAATAATAAATTGATTGTTTCCTCAACTGGAAAGCTGGCAGCTCGCGTCTATTGATGGAAAACACAACAAGTTATGGGCCCAGCACGCTGTCTGGCCAACGTTTCAGCCGGCTGCTGTTCGATGGTGATGAGAGGAACTACGAACTTTGGGAGACGAGATTCCTCGCGCATTTGGAGTTGCGTGGGCTTGCCGGGACACTGAAGACTTGGGGCAGCTGAGGGCGTTGAGGATGCACGAGTTGCAGACGCTGGGAGGAATGGACAGGCGTATGCGGAGTTGGTCCAGGTTTCGGACAATAAAAGTTTGTCGCTGATTATGAGAGAGGCGGACGGAGACGGGCGCAAGGCGTTGAAGATACTTCGCCATCATTATGCAGGCAAAGGAAAGCCGCGTATAGTAAGTTTATACTGCACGCTGTCAGCCCTCCACATGCAAAGCAACGAGACTGTCACAGATTACATTGTTCGAGCCGAGACGATATTTGCAGCGTTGTCGAGGGCAGAAGAGAACATTAGTGATGGTCTGCAAGTTGCAATGGTGAAAGGTCTGCCCAACTCATTTAAGCCGTTTGTGGTAAACATTACACAGATGAGCGAAGCCCTAACGTTCCAAGCGATATCACAGAAGACAATGTGATGAGAGCAGCGGGGGCAGCCACCTACGGGCCACAAGGACGAGGCAGAGAGCGGAGGAAGGATTCGGCCGAGGTCGAGTGCTACAGATGCCGTAAAATGGGACATGTGGCAAGGAATTGTCCCAGCGCGTATGAGGAGAGGCGACGGGACCGCAGGAGCGACGCGCCACGCCGAGGGGGACAGCGGGACTCCATGGCAGCAGCGACGGGGGAAGAGCAGCAACGAGGAGCCACAGACCGCTGGGCTCGACCCGACAGGAGCGCCAGGGACCAAGAAGGACCCTGCCCCTGGAGCGCCTACAGAGAAGCAGCAGATGATGGAGACGAGGACTACTATGAAGACCACAGGTCGTATTGTTTTAAATTGAGTGACAACAGGAGTTCAAAGGGGGCAGTCGATGTTAAAGGTTTACTAGTCGATTGTGGTGCTACATCGCATATGATAAATGACTTTAAAAAGTTTAAGAACATTGATAAAGACTTTAAGCCTGTAAACCATGTGATTGAACTAGCTGACGGTACCAAGATCACCGGAGTGGCAGGCGCCAGGGGGGATGCAGAGGTCTCTCTGGTAGATAGCCATGGACATAAAGTGACAGCACTACTGAAGAAAGCCCTGTATATACCTACTTTTCCACAAGACATTTTCTCAGTGAAGGCAGCCACAGGCCACGGGGCGGAATTGCATTTCAGAGAGGGTGATAACTGGATGGGTGTTACGGATGGCACCAGATTTAACATTGAGACCCACACTAAACTGTATTATCTACCCACAATTATTGATGCAGACATTGACAAGTTTAAGATGTGTCACAATATACAGACGTGGCACAGAATACTTGGACACTGTAACTTTGAGGATGTTTCCAGATTGGAGAGTGTGGTTGAAGGGATGAAAATCAAGGGGAAATGTATCAAATCTGCCTTCAGCTGTGAAGTCTGTATGGAAGGGAAGTTCGTAGATAAGAGAAATAGACAGGCTGATAGCAGAGCTAAACAAATATTACAACTGGTGCATACTGACCTATGTGGTCCTTTGGAGCCTACGGATAGGGATGGGTATAGGTACACCCTAGCCTTCACAGACGACTACAGTGGCATGACCTGGGTCTATTTCCTCAAGGCAAAAAGTGACACTACCAGAGCAACAGAAAAATTCTTAGCTGACACAGCTCCTTATGGCAATGTGAAGACTATTAGATCGGACAATGGGACGGAGTACACTGGTAAAGAGTTCCAGGATCTTCTCATGAAAAATAGGATCAGCCATCAGACTAGTGCCCCTTATTCACCTCATCAAAACGGTACAGCAGAACGAAAGTGGAGGACGTTACTGGACATGAGCCGGTGCATGTTACTTGAAAGTAAATTACCAAAAACTCTATGGAGATATGCAGTGCAGACAGCTGCACATATACGTAACAGGTGCTATAGTAGGCGACTAGGCAAAACTCCATATAATGTTTTCACAGGGAAAACTCCAAATATTTCCCATATGCTGATTTTTGGTACAGAGTGCTATGCTTACAAGCATAATCAAAAGAAATTGAGTCCTAGAGGTGAAAGGGGCATTTTCGTTGGGTATGATAGGTACAGTCCTGCATACAACATCTATTTTCCAGAGACCGGAAGAGTTTCCCGGCATAGACTAGTGAAGCCCCTACTGACACTGGACAGTCAGATATATAGTGACGAAGAGGATGTTGGACTGTATACAGCACCACCAAGGATCGGTGTACATCCCCAGAGCCACCAGATCGAACCCACGGGTGCAGCAGGTGGAGGTACATCACCCACTCGCCAGACCCCTGTTGCGGGGGATGAAAGCGGTGCAAAGTCTGGTATCAAAGGAGATAGTGAGGGGGCACGTCGCTATCCAAGCAGAGATAGACAACCCCCATCATATCTCAGGGATTACCAATGTAAGACGGAGGACGTTGTGGAAGAACAAGACATTGATCACTTTTATAGAGCGGTGTTTGGTGTACCCAAAACCTACACAGAGGCTGTGAGAGCTGAGAGGTCCCATGAGTGGACTAAAGCAATGGAAGAAGAAATGCACTCTTTAAGAGAGAATGAAACATTCTCTCTATGTAAGCTCCCAAGGGGAAAAAGGGCAGTAGGGGGCCGCTGGGTGTTTGTAGTCAAAGAAAGACCTGGTCAGCCTGAGGTTTTCAAAGCAAGATACGTGGCAAAAGGCTACAGCCAAGTAAAGGGGATTGACTACAAAGAGACCTTTTCCCCAACGGCCAGTATGACATCTGTGAGGATATTGATGCAGATAGCAGCCCAAGACGACCTTGTACTTCATCAAATGGACGTGAAAACGGCATATCTTCATGCCCCAATGGACTGTGAGGTGTACATGGAGCAGCCAGAGGGGTTTGCGATAGAGTCTGGGACTGGTGAACGCTTGGTCTGTAAACTAAATAAATCCTTGTATGGTCTAAAACAATCTGGACGCAACTGGAACAAGCTGTTAAATGATCACCTAGTGGTTAATGGTTTTGAACAAAATGCGGCGGACAATTGTGTTTATGTTCGACAGTCTGGGGCTGAAAGGGTCATTTTGATAATTTGGGTAGATGACTTGTTAATTGCAGCCAATAACGAAAGGCTAATCTGTGAAGTAAAAGAAATGTTAGAAAATAAGTTTAAGATGAAAGATCTAGGGGGACTCGGACATTTCTTAGGTATTGACTTCACACTGTGTAAAGGTGAAGTTAGAATGAGTCAGACTAGACATATTGGAAAAGTGCTCCAGAGGTTTGGGATGCTTGAGTGTAAACCAAGACTAACATCTTGTGAGCAAAAGTTTGATTTTGATGATGGAGTTGAAATGGCTGATTCCACAGGCTACAGAGAAATGGTTGGGAGTTTAATTTACATTATGACCTCTACAAGGCCCGACGTAAGCTGGGCGGTCAGTAAATTGTCCCAGCACCTAAAACGGCCAACACAACAGCACTGGGAAATGGCCAAACAGGTATTACGTTACCTCAAAGGCACTATAGACCAGGAACTGTGTTACAGACGAAAAGACCCAGGCCTTAGACTCGAAGGTTATAGCGATGCTGACTGGGCGTCAGACCCTACTGATAGGAAGAGTACTAGTGGTTACTGTTTCAGCCTGACCACAGACGGTCCAGTCATTTCCTGGAAAAGCAGGAGACAGCCTACTGTAGCTCTGTCGACATGTGAGGCTGAGTACATAGCCCTTGCAGCTACTGTGCAAGAGAGCATGTACCTCATACAACTTCTGGGTGGGATGGACAAGGAAAGACAGCACACTCCAGTAAAGATCTTTGAGGACAACCAGGGTACAATTGCTCTCTCCAAGAACCCAGTGTGTAGACAACGTAGTAAGCATGTGGATGTTCGCTATCATTTTGTACGGTCTGCACACGCTGATGGAAAAATTATAATAGAGTACTGTGCAACGGAGCAAATGGTGGCAGATGTGCTGACCAAACCCTTAACAAAGGTAAAGTTTAACACTTTCAAATATTATTTGTTTGGACAATAATGTAGTATTGTATTTTCTTTGTTTATCTCTGTTTTGTATTCTGTAAAAATGAGCCTGAGTGGGGGTGTTGAGCGTGATGTGAAATGCAGCCTCATTTATTATGGTTCATTTATTAGCAGGCAATGTGGGTCCTGTGAGGACCCCTACTGACGTCAAGTAGCTCTATAAATTGCACCTGTTTTGTTTTAATAATAAATTGATTGTTTCCTCAACTGGAAAGCTGGCTGCTCGCGTCTATTGATGGAAAACACAACACGCATTATTAAAAGCCTGACGTGTTTGACTCACGTCTCAAAGAGCAATATTCTGCATCATGTAGTGAATTGTGTTCTTTGGTTCCTACCTGATCCTCAGCGTCTGTTTGTCCCGTGGTTATTATAGATCCATGGTTTATCCACGATGCTGCTGTCAGTAAGTTGTGGAACAGGGTTATAATAGATCCATGTGTGGGACAGGACACGGAGCGCAGACAGTCTCCTTCGGCTTTCTCCTCACGCATTCTCCGACGCTGTTCCAATATTTAAAACAACGTGTTTGGCCTGTGTCATATGAGCTGCTGTTGATGTTGAAGGTGGTTTTGCTCTAAAAAGAGCAAACAGAGGCAGAGCAGACATGCTGCACATACGAGTCCTCAATGTTTTCTGCCGGAGCTCTATCCTCCGTGAGCTCTCGCTGTCCAATAGGAGCGCCGATCGTCACACGTGTCAATATGTTTATATAAAAAAGTTCACTTGCAAAAAAGGACAGTCTGAATACAAACCGGAGCAAAAGAAAAAAGTTTGGTCCGCTTTTGATTTGGATCAAGCAAGCGGAGCAAAGGACTTTTCAGGTCTGAATACACCCTTAGATTGCACACAATCATTTCACTATTCATGTGACTTCTGAAGGTAATTGGTTGCACCAGAGCTTTTTATTGGCTTCATAACAAAGGGGGTAAATACATATGCACATGGCAATTTTCAGTTTTTTTCTGAAAAGTTGTTTTATGTATATATTTTTCTCAATTCACTTCACCAACTTAGACTATTGTTTTCTGATCCATCACATGAAATTCAGATTAAAAAAACATTGAACTAAAGGCTGTAATGTAACAAAAATACTTTTGCAAGGCACTGTAGTTAAAACCCAATCCCTGACTTACACTTCTCACATCTGTGGGTAAAACTTGTATATGTGAAGTTACACTTAAACATTACGGGTGAAAGCACTGTATGAAAAACATATTTAAGTGTTTGTTTTTAATGTTAACACATCAGTTCTCCAAAAAGGTATATTATAAGAAAATAAATGTCTTTTTTTTGTTTATACATGTGATACATTTCATTAAAAAAAAAAGACTAGATGTTTCAGATTATAATTTAAAAACATTATATGGCAGATCAGATATTGGTGTCAGCCGAGATTTACCTGTCCCCATTCACCCACCAAGACCTGTAATAATTCAGTCACTATATTTGTGATCAGACACACAATTGTGGTACAAGGTAGGGTCCCTATGGGGACATTAAAATCTGCATTACCTGATCGTAGTTACTTTAACCCTGTAATCAGTCCAGTTGGATGCTTAAGAGATTACACAATAAAGTCATACTATACTCAACACTCTTCACCCTGATAGAAATCTACCACTGGCCTTGTGTGAATTGTGTCGTCTCCCCTCCTCATCCTATTCTTGGCTCTTTTCATTTGCTCGTATTGTGTTGGACTATTCCCCACCGGAACAGGCCTTGATGAAGAAACGTTCCCTCTAAACTCCAAATCTTTTTCACTTCAGTGTCAGCCAAGCTCTACACTGTTACCTGACTTGATGTGAGAGGTAATGTAATCATCGCCCTGCCACAGGAAACAGTAATATGGTATTATTGACAGTTCGGCATTGTGAAGCCAGGGGCCAGATGTTCCACAAATGGACTGAATTAGGCCTATGCAATTGGAATATTTTTTTTCTTTTATTTCTTTTTTCTCCATGATCAGTGGTGAGAGGCGTTTGCCTCAACTCATAATATCTCCTCCCTCGCTTTTTCTCTCTCTCACTCCTGACCTTTTACAAACAATCCCCTGTCTATTCTCTTATTCAGATCCAGCAGGTATGAATAATGTGAATGAGTGTACAGCTGAACTGATAGAATTTGCGTTTCATGGTGATTACTACTTTCCTATACTGGTGCCATTTATATTATTGGATGCACTAATCGTTGTTTAAAATGGAAGGGTTGACCCAAAAATTTGAGCAGAAAGACACTTAAAAAAAAGCTAAGGTGCAATTCATAACATTATTTTGATTCTATGTATTTATTGTACATCGTCTTGTCTGGAGGGACCTCAAGTTATTTAGACTGTCCAGATTCCACTGACTTATTTCGTTTTTCAATGCAGACCTGTATAAAATGGAAAAGGGAAAAAAACCTGATACAATCACAAAGAAAAAAAGCCCTGTGATTTTCTTTATCGGATTGCATCTCATAGGACACACACTTGCAGCCAACACCTGCTTGTGCTAATAATGACTGTTGTGATTATAGTGACGTCAAAGCCAGACAAGATGTGCTTGTGGTGCTGTTATTTTCTGTCATCGCACACATGAACGCACACACCCTGCACCTACGATATTTACCCGCAATTTTATTCTCCCTTTTGATCACTAGAAACTGTTTATTCATAAGAATAGCTCAGAATCCATCCATAATCCTACAAAAACTGGAAGGACTAATCAATTTAATCCTATAATGTTGATGTTAAGTTTTTACAAACTAGAAAAACAAAAACGCACACCAAGTTCTTCTCATGAGGTGCATGTGCTGGAGCAGAAATTAAATGTGGAAAATACACAGCACACTCGGATAGATGTCCAAAAGATCTAGTATTTATTAACGTTTCGGCCTTAGCCTTCGTCAGATCATCAAGTTTTTACAAAACCAACCGGGCTGAATGATGACTTAAATAAACCCATGATCACAAATTTTCTTATTTCGAAGAAAAAAAAAGCACTCTATAAACTACTACTACTATATAACATAACAAGGTCTGTATGTCAAAACGGACGTTGGTCCTTCTTCTTTTGAATAACTTTAATAACTAATACAAATAGTAAACCTCTAAAATATCATTCTTATCATAACTTGGAAAAAAACGTGGAAAAAAAATGAAGACGAGAGATGCCTGTAAGTTTGTCTATAGATGACATGATCTTTGTGGTCAACTATATTGTCTTGTGATTTTCTCAATTATTATTTGAAACACTGCATGAGATGTTTAAAGCCTTCAATTAGACATTTAATTTATCACAAGAGAAAATGGTGTCATAGAACCAGTTTCTAGATGTTGATATAGAAATAGCTTATTCTATTTGATAGGTTTCATCCTGACTGGATCTTCCTTAATAAAATGTTATGCATTATGAGCAAAACTGAAATAAATATTAATGTGAGGTGGAACATTCTAACTGTATTTTTTAGACTGTAGTAAGCCTGGCCAGTTAGGCTAATCTGTGAACAAATACATGAACATCAACATTGTTAGATGTTACAATGCTTTCGTTACCAACAGTGTAATATTGTGTGGGCTCAGGACTATTTTGTTAAATCCCTTGTAACTGTTTGGTAAGTCCTTTTCTTTTTTTCCCTATTTATCCAAAGTAATCTAGCTCTATATTCGTTTTGATTCAAGTTCTAAGATGGTAGCGTGATTGCCTGTTTCTATTGTAGCAATGGCGTGAAAATGCCAGAGATGAGCAGGCTCTCTCAATGTGGCACAATCATTTACTACCACCACCCGCTCTCTTCAACATGAATGAAACTGCAATGTTAATGATCATATACCTATTCGCTTTCATGTAGAAGTGACGGAAAGTGATTGGCTAATGTGGATCTTTTTAGTTACCATGACAATCAAACTTCCCTCCGGTCTTTGGAGTTTTGAATCTGTCATTGAGAACTGAGCATGGAATGCTGCAAATATCCGCTTCATGTTGCTGCTTTTATAACTTGTGTCCTCTTTGTCTACAGAGGGGCCTTCTCGGAGGTAGTGCTGGCCCAGGAGAAGCTGACTGGGCGGATGTTTGCAGTGAAGTGCATCCCTAAAAAAGCTCTGAAAGGAAAAGAGAGCAGCATCGAGAATGAGATTGCTGTGCTGAGAAAGTGAGTACACACTTCAGATAATATCATATTATTATACACAGCCTCTCATCTCACCAGTCTATTTAATACAGTGAGTAAAAAAGCTAGTTCTGCAAGGTGTTGTTCCCTTCCTCATATGGCTGTTTTCTAATTAAGCGCTCAGGCTGGAGATGATTTGATTTAGACCTAACTCTGACTAAATCTTAATCGTCCAAAGTGTTAATTCGAATTGAAAATATATATACTAGCCATATTTTGTACCCCATCTACTTCAGTCACTAGACTGAATATTGTACATTTTACACATCATCCAGACATGCTGTTAAATTAGTAGTAGTAAGTAAGTAAGTAATCTTTATTTATATACCGCCTTTTCACTGCACATCGGAGTCTCAAAGCGGTTTACAATTGTTATTTTTTGGGAGTGGGGGTGCCAGTACAGGAGGCACATGCCAGACCTATTGTACATATTTTTAGTGGTAGGGGAAACCGGAGCACCCGGAGGAAACCTACGCAGACACGGGGAGAACATGCAAACTCCACTCAGAAAGGCCCTGGTCCAACCGGGATTCGAACCCAGGACCTTCTTGCTGAGAGGTGAGAGTGCTATCCACTCAGCCACCGTGCCGCCCATTAGTCACTCATTCGTTTCCCAGTCCCCACATCACATGTTAAATATGTGCATACAAACACTCGTTTCATTCACAACAAAGAGACGTACTTGATAATACCTTGTTACCACGACAACCTAGCATCCCTGTCCGGAAATTCGGTCCGCAACCCACCGCCACACTAGACTCGTCATCACGACTTCAACTTAATAACAAGACAAGGCTGTATTTAAGCAATGCAGTGGGGGCAGAGCCTTTAGGAAATGTAGCTGTTCTTTGTGCTTCATAGGCCCAATAACCAATGAGGTGGTCCGAGCTAACCCATTTGGCTTTGTTTGAAAAACACCTCTTACATATGGCTCATCACAATAATTACTATATTTTGTCATCATTTAATAAGTAAAGCACACACTTAATGTCAGATGTGCATTGTCAGATCAATGCATTGGCTGCCTCTTGCTCTTCAATACAGTGGCCATTGAGCAGCTGCTAACTTGGAAACAAGTTTGAGCTCCGGTGAAGTCCATAAGATAAGATAAACCTTTATTTGTCTAAAAGTGGAGAAATTTCAAGCCAATTTCATGTGGCTGTAAAGAGCGATTTTTCTGTGCTTGCACATGCTCACACACACACATAAACGCTCACATAGTCAGATTCTCACGCACAACAGATTTACAACTCAAATAGAAATAAAGTAAATGTTCACTTCCCAAAATTGATAATTATTGCGTTAGTTTTTTTTAAAATGCAGTCTCTGCTCAATTTTACGACAAATAATATGACTCACCAGATTTTTTTGTGTAAGCGATATGAGATCAAAGTCATAATATTTTTACTTTAAAGTCACATCTGCTCACATCTCATAATAACCCCAGTAATTTTAGGGAGAAGATGACACTTTTCCCCAGCTCCTTCAACAGGGGACGGAGCACTTACATGTGTCAATAATGATTTTACTATGTCATCAATTTTAGAAGATTACGACTTTATTCTTGCCATTCTTAGAAAAAAAGTTTGAGGTTAAAAATAATCACTAAGACTTTTTATGGGGTGTGTTCCCTTGTTTGGAACGGCCCCATAGCCCAATGGATCAGTCTCTCATTCTGACCAAAATGGAGAGGATGATGTAATCAGACTTTTGGTTGTAAAGTTATTATGAGTGAATTTATAAATTCAATACATTTTATATACCTGTTGATGTTATAAATAAAGAGTAGATCACTTGCTGCAGTTTTGTATAAAACTATACCGAACATGCACTGATTGTAGTGAGTCCAGTGGACTCATGACAGTTTTCCTCATGAGACGTAGAAAGTTCTGCCTTCTATCAAATGCCATTCACTTTTTTCTAAACAGACTCAATTTTTGCATTTCAGGATCTATTGTGGAAATGTATGGGTGTCTCCTAGTAAAATAATTGGGCTGCAGCCCTCGTCCACTTTACTTATATTTAAATGATTCAATTTTTTTTCCTCTGTGATTATTACATTTTACTGTGACATGAATAATCCTGTTAATTGTTGGAAAAACACTTTATGTTGTTTACTCAGTGGGAAATGACTCTCAAGGGCCAAAGGTCCAATGCATTTTAATATGTCCATACTGCCACAGCTGCTGCAGGGCTTTTTTGAGTAATAACAAAATGGCCTTTTGTTATTAAATACTGTAATTTAGCTAATTCAACTGCGCACTTCAAATCAGTCAAAATGAGTACGGCTCTCAATCCAATTATACAAATGGAAACCATTACATTAAAATGACAGTGGGTTAGTGGATGGAGCATTATAATGGCTACTCTCTGAGAGATCGGCCCCATGGTGTTAAAAGCTCGGAAGGCAACAGTTCAATTTGGATTTATAAATTGCAAGTTAGTGTTCACATTTTATTCTACATTTATACGTCCCAAATGACGTTTTTATACAATGGAATCATTTAAAACAAAACAAATGTGTTTTAATGACTCAGTCAATTCTAAATCTTGGTCAGTAAATATTTATTTTGGATAATCAATTGCTTGTTTAGTTAAATTATGTTGTAAATATATTAATTTAATTCTGTAGTCGTTAGAGAATTTATACTCTTTTTGGAAGTTGAGATAGTTCATCAGACTTGACCTGGGACCGACTACCTGGAAAACTGGATTCTGGAATTTAAAATGGGTTGTAATGCGTTATTGATCCACGTCACAGCTGCATTTTATTTGGAATGTTTTGACACAAACACAAATGTCAGTATATCACAATAAAGTCAACGACTGGATTCCATAGGGTCTGACATTTATAACGAGGTATAGTATGACTGTGTTGGTAGAGCTGAAGTTGGTTGGATGACACTGCTGCCAACACATAGTCTCCATTGAGGCACTTTGACAGAGGGCAACATAAAACGGCACAGAGGGCTGCAATTGGCCCACGGGCCTGAGTTTGGACATACTTGGTCTTGCACTGAGATGAATTCTTGCAAAGATGGTGGTCCATGATCCATGGTTTTCTTTGGAGAAAGTTTGTTTGGAGCTATTTTTGGACATCTGTGAATCATAATTTCACAGGTGCAGGAATTTTATCCATATATAATATATAATTATTATCCTGGTAGACATTTCTGAATAAAATGAGTTCCGTTATGTTTGGACTGAACCTTCATCTTAGTGAATTTTGTACCAGAAGTAAATTCTTAGTTTGGATATGTGCAAACTTGACTTGACTAATTTGACTAAGTAGTTTGAACAACAATGGTTGAACAACTTTGTAATTATATCCACGAATATAGTGAACAGGAGCACTGTGGTGATATATCTGCGAGCTTGGCTTAGTCATGATTTGGAAGTGTTGACTATGTCCAATGCCAAGAATTAGTAGAGCAGCAGCAGTTGCCCAAAGCACAGACATGCGGACGTTATTTTAAGGATAATGTGTAAAATATGACTTTTTTCAGTTCAGTTGCTTTCAAGTCCTTTTATATTTCTGAAAGAACATGATATAGCTCACTCTGCCTCTCCAATAAGGTATTTATGTAATTTGACTCATTTGGATTGTTTTATTTCTTTCATATTTCATACAATTTTTAAATATCCTTCAATAGTCCTTTTACTTTTGTTATTAAATTGACAGACTAATATTTGACAAATTCATTAATTATGGCTCACAGCTTGTAAAAACCCTAAACAAAACATTAATAACAAAAATGCTTGATATATCATAAGTTTCACAGTGTAATTACAGACATGAATAAACTTTTGAACAATATGCTAATTTGCCAAGTTTCACCGGGAGCGTTTTCTTTACAGAATCAAGCATGAAAACATTGTGGCGCTGGAGGACATCTATGAGAGTCCAGAGCACCTCTATCTCATCATGCAACTGTGAGTACAAACTGGTTTTTCCTTTGAGTGCATGTTACAAGTCACAAGTTTTTAATTTTGAGGGGGAATGTGTATCACATGTACCATAATTATTGCAAAAATCTGTCTGAATATTTA